ATACATACATATATATATATATATATATATACATACATACATACATACATACATATATACATACATACATACATATACATACACAGTCTATTCATTCTGTACTTGGGAAATTCAACATTCACAAAATGTAGTAGAAATGGGTGAGGGTTGACTAGCAGTGACGTGCCCTGCCGGTGGCGTAAGATGCAGACACGGTCCCCCTCAGACACTGGGTGCAGTTCATGATGATGACACCAGAGTCGGTGGCCTTCTTCAGCTCCTCCAACAGGTCAGGTCGGTTATCGGGGGCATTTCCACTGCCGTAGGTCTCCAGGACTACACCCTCCATGGGCGGCTGCAGGAAAGCCCTCACCTGGACACAGATATACCAAGGATTCACATTACAAACGCCCGGGATTCATGGCAAACTGGACCGGCTTCTCTCAGCTGCGCATAATCAAATTGCGGAATTAGTATTCCGTGTTATTTTTCCTGCAGCCCCTCTCACTCTAATGCATGAGACCATTCACTCTCCTAAAAGCCCATCTGGTGCCGTCTATGCAACCAGTATCTCAGTTGGCTGGCACCGGGAGGCCCTATACCACATCATTAGCCATGGCGTATGACTAGAATGGCAGATGACTGAAATGACAGGAAGGAGAGCAATTAATCTGAAGGTGTTAGCAAGCATAAAGTCACTTGGCAAGACCAAAGCAGTAACCATAAAACGTAAGAAGAAGGCGACATTAAAAGTGCCAAGTTCGGTCGGTATTTTTCTGATGCGATAAGCAGTTTGACTAAAGAAGTTTTGACGCAGATTACCAATGAAGCTCTCGTGCAGCAGAGACAGTGGGCACACAAGAGCCTGGTGCATAATCAAAACAGCGCCTCGTAAAAGGCAGTTAAAGGCTGTAAGAAAGTCTTGATAGCCGAGCTGGGCAGTGTGAGCAGATTGAGACAGTAAAGCCAGTCTCCCGGCAGCCTCTGCAGGGGGATGTTACAGTATCTACGCCAGTCCTCCCTCTTTACAGGGTGATTGGTCATGGCCCATAACTCCCTCTCATCTTTCTCTGGGCTGAGCTTTGATGGCAGTTTACATGACCGGGAAGGTAACGGAAGGCGGGTAATAGCGCAATTAAATTAAAGTTAACTATATTTTATTGCAGTTAGACAAAACAGTAGTTTTTGAACAGCCGGTTACCTTGGACATCTTTTTAATTACATTTTAATACACTGTGAAGGAAAACTTGAAATTGGCACCAAGCTGGTAAAATGATTAATTTACCTTTCATTTACCCATCATCATTTCACTAAATACATTTTGTGAGGATTTGATTTTTCTGTAATTATCCATAAATAATGAAAAGACATCAGGTGAAATAAAGTGAATTTTAGTACTATGCAAATACTTATATTCAAAGCAGGTAATGAGTGATCTGTTATGTTCTGTTATGAGAAACATCAACCGAAGACCAAGGACAACGAGTCAACACCTCTGGACATTAGGGGGCTGTGACAGAGACAAAGTGAACACCTCTGGTCCGGTTCAGGCGCTGAGCGACTTACAGTAGCAGCAGTGATTCCTGGGAACAGCCTGAGCAGGCCCACGTTCCTATTCAGCTCGGTGCTGACTTGAAACTTTGCCGTGGTGTTTGCCCTCCACACTGTATCCCAGTTGACTAAAAGACAAGACGGAGGGAAAAAAAAAAAAAAAAAAAAAAAAAAAAAGATTAAAAGTGGAGAAACGCAACGTTTATTTTCCCCATGAAGACAGACCCATGACGCCACCGGCTCACTTGTAATGTCCACTTCAGCGACGGCCAGAGGAGCCAAGTTAGGAGAGGAGAACGCATTGAAACTCCCAGCATCCACCTTGGTCACACGGTTCCCTCTGTAGAGTTTGTTGTAGAAGTACAAGCACACCTGAATAGAGATAAAGACATACATTTACTGCACACCATTTGCTCCTCTACGAAGACAAAAAAAATCCTTTCAACGCTGCAGGACTTAACATATGCATGAAAACCTGTGCGCACCCGACTCCAGATGGAACGGTTTTCTAGAAACTCATTGCAAAATGCTTTTCACAAAAAACATACTAGTCTGTTTAAGTACAACCCTCAATGCAGCAAAATTAAATTCAACGGACACAGTTTTTTTACTGCATTTGGGTTGTGGATACGTGGTTTTGGCTCAGCAGGTCGACCACTAATCAGAAGATTGGCAGTTTGATGTCCGCATGTCAAAGTGTCCTGGGTAACATACTGAACCCTAAATCGCTCCCAAAGGCTGAGCCATGTGTGTGTTTGAGCATTAGTTTAGATCCTGATGGGCAGGTTGCACCTTGCGTGGCAGCCCATATGAATGTGTGAAAACACTTTTCAGTGTTCTTCCTGTTCTAGTATATGTTGTTCGGTATTGCGAAACACTCGAGAGTATTCTCACCGGACAAGTCGTTTAGGAGAGCTTTTGTTATCTCTTGCATGCCAGTAGTGACACCGTTCTCTGCAGATCTCACCGTATTTCTCAACTTATTAACAAATATACAGGGTTATAATATTAAAAGGTTTTTTATTTTCATTCTGCAGTTCATTTAAAACTCATTTAGCATTTATTAAACCCCACATATGAAATCTAAGTCACTATTGGTGATCATCTAGAGTCTTTTATTCTCTCCGTTTCTTTCACAAATAAGGCAATAGTTCATGTTTTCCCTGTGAGGCTGCCAAATGTCTCTAATAATCAAATACAGTAGCCGAGTCTCATTTATGTCCCATCTCCCTTTCCTCACCTCGGGAATGACAAACTGGCCTGCGATCAGCAGCGCCCCCAGCAGGTTGTCTCTGCCATCATTCCTCATCTCATAGATGGGCACCTGAAGACAGAATGGGCCTTGTCTTCAGAGGGCAGAGAATATTTAAAATGCCGCCGACACATTTTGTTCTTTTTGTCTGTTGGGCCCTTTGTAGACAGCAGCTTACCTGTGATCCGGTGAGAATGATCGGTTTGCCCAAATGTTCACACATGAAGGACAGGGCAGAGGCTGTGTAAGCCATAGTGTCTGTGCCATGGAGGATCACAAAACCGTCATAGTTTTCGTAGTTTTTCTGGAGAAGAGAAAAAAAACCAAAAAAAAAAAAAACACATATTGTGGATTGTTTTAGATGGCAGCGTAAAGACAATTATCTTTTTTTCTACAATAATATATCGTATATTTTATGAGCAATATGAATATTATAGGATGGATTGATGCCTCGCGTTTTAAAAGCATAAATCATTAGGTGTTGTATTTGAAATGGAGGCAATCAGAAACCTAACAATGAAATGGATCCAGCAGCAAGTACCTCAATGTCCTTTCCAATTCTACCCCAGTCATCTGTGGTCATATTGGAGGAGTCCAGCAAAGGGTTGTAGTCTATAACAGTGTAGACTATCCTCTGATTGTCTTTACTCAGCCTGCAAGAGAGAGGTTCTGTCATTATATACACAAGTTCAAACGGGACCAACTGCCCAAAATAAATCAGTGGTTTTAGTCTTTGCAGGCAAAAACGTTCACTCCAAAATACATCAAGGACACACGGTTAAACACGTTATTATTATTATCTTCACTGTGACAAATGATCATTAGTCTTCATCATGCGCGTTAAACAGAGTTGGATTAAGTTCAGGTTAAAATTGAGAAGTGAGTTTAAAGGAGGGTAGGGGAATGCTAAAAACCAAGCTGACTTTATGAAGCGAGGCAAAGTCTATTTAGCCGGGCCTTCTGTCTCAGCAGCAGGGTGCCAAAACCTGTTTCAGACACACACAGAGGATTCTGAAAGTGTAAAAGGGAGGGGCATGTCTGCATACTGTTAAAGAGAGCAGCACTTTACTGTTTCGCCATTTCCCCTTTCCACAGCAAAGACTTAATGTTCTGTGGAGCTTAACCGCTGTGTATGGTAAACACAGGCAACGCTGAGGGACATTATTGTCTTGAGGGTTATTCGGTGAGCCATTTCAGGTTAGGGGGCGAAAGTCCATGTTTCTCTTTTCCTTCCAGTTACCAGGGAAGGAGCCTCTCGTGTATACATAATTCATGCTGCCTCTATGTGGATTTTAACTCGGGCGTCTCATGGCTCCACCTGCGACACTCCACATTAGGCAGCGTGACTGGCTGAAGAGCCATGGAAAGATTTTCATTTTAATCTCCCTTTTAAAGAAACAGGGTGGGACACCCCCCCCGACATTACCATAAGGCAGCCTTCTAACATGAAGACAGGAGATGAATGGACCAGCGGGAGGACGAGCCCCAGTTCACCCTACCGGGGGTCCTACAGGACACTCTTCTAATTAGCCTTAAGTCCACACAGGACCCTGGAACATATGTTGTTGGTAATCTTGAAGCCAAAGTGCCACAAGAAAACACTATTCAAATCACCAATTATTCATCTATCTGGCAGTGGACCCTAAGGTGTAGCAACGCTACACATTAGCATAGCCGTGCTGAGATGCCTCATAGCTTAAGAATAATGAATGCCTGTGTGTTTCTGTGCGTGTGCATGATTGGGGACTTAAAAACTCGAAGAGGAGTGTTGGAGGTTGGGGGGGGGGGGGCAAACAGTCTTGTGGCGTTGCCTCTCAACATCACATGAATAAAGCTTTTCAACAAATCAATAAACTAATTCCCTCCTTCAACATAGACTGGAACCACGTACTATCAACAGGATTAGACTTGCATATGAGCCTGCATATATTAACACAATGCCAACTCAAGGATGGGCAAATATTAAAAAGTGAATCATGCTCTCACCCCCAAACAATTAGTTAGCAAAGGTTTTTAATATTATTCAAAGTTAACTGATTGCTAACATTTTAAGACATTTACCGAGCAGCCAATGCACAAACAGGAAGCTCTTGTGTGGTAGCTCAAGGTGTGGGAGCAGTGCGAGGTTGAAGTCCTCTAAAATAATTCTTATAAGCTCCACAAACAGTCTACCACCGCCTGATGTATCTTATCTCTACCGCACATCCTGCTGCCGCTCAGTCGGTTTTCACAGTGGCAGTCAACATGAAGGAGGTATGGAAATGAGTGAGTAAGGGTACGATTCTGGTGGAGGCGCCCCCACTATCGCTGACATTTAAGACCATTAAGAGGCTGTTGATCGCTGAGGGGGACCTGTCACAAGGGGCTCCACAGCACATGCACCAGAGATCAAGACAACCTGGATTAAACAAACAGCAATGGAGTAGATTAGCTTTGCTTTTCCTAGTATGCCAACAGCAGCTTTTCACAAATAAACCCTCCAGGAAACATCAGGCTATCTCAGCTGGGATACTTTAAGGCAGCTGGCGTGTTGATGACAGAGGTGATATTAGCAAGCGAAGAGAAAGAGACACAAAAATACTTCAGGCAATACACAGCTCCGTGCTCATGTGTCCTTCCTGGTATTTAGGGCCACGTCGGCATGCATTTCCTGTCAGGCAAGCACACCCAAACATTTGGTCTCAAGGACTGCAGAGACATCCAACCACTCTCAAGCACAAACAATGCTACCAGTGCTACAGCACCCATGAAATAGATGGTCAGAATGGGGCGTTGGCTTCCTGTTAAAGCAACAAAAGCAGTTTAGAGTCATTAAAAGCATTGAGGACAGTGATTCGTTTCCATGTAGTCTGTAATCTTCAGTGGTTTGCAAGTACTGTAGAAACAATATGATTTAGGACAGGCTCAGCTCTCCAGGCCAATAACTTTACATGAGATAAAGTGTAACATTCTTTCGAACTAAGAAGAAAAAAATATTGTGATAAGCTTCCTTAGGTATTTAGATGGTGAAAACCCCACATAACAATATGTGAATATTATATACATTATATAAAACGCCTTGGAGTAGATGATACAACATCCTGTGTGAAGAGCAGAACATGTATTTTTGTACGTTTTCTAAATAAAGTTATATGTTCTGACTGAGTGGGGAAGAATTCTGGGTTCACTTACGGCAGGACCAGGCTGTTCTCCGATCCATAGTACTGATACAGGCAGGTCTGCTGGGCATACAACTCATCGTGGAGGATGGGCAGCTTGCGCAGGCCCTTCACAAAAGAATTGGCTTTTGGGGCAAGCACTGTGGGTCACAAAAATATTTAAAAAGGGGGTTATTGTAATATTTCTTAGCGTGCTCTCTGTTAATCAGTAACAGTTTAGGAGAAAAGCACAAGAGGCATTACAATCAGCTCAACACCAAACATCAGTCTCATACTGAACCCTAGTGGTAATTGTAAGAAGTATCATTGTTGCACGGGCTTAAAAATCCCCTCCAACGATGATTCTTACATACAATGAGTTAGTAGTTTTTAGGCCACTAAATTAGTCACAATAAAAAAGAACTGTGAATACAGTGAGCACAGCACCACTGCAGCTGACAGCCACATGAGCATAAGTCATCATACTGTCGGGAATCAAGACAGGATGACTTGATCAGAGTGACAGTAAAGGGGAAGTCACCCGGCAAACACGACCTTAAAGCAGAGCTTTGCATTGTGGGAGGCGGGCCTTAGTAAACACTTAGTTTATTGTCAAACTAGCAGATTGAATGGCAACATCTAGACATTGGTGATCCCAGAGTCTTTAAACTTACCAGATGTGAGAGACACATGAGGTGTGTGCATATACATTATGGACCTGCATAGCCACAGACAAAAGTGTGACTCATCTCCAGGCCATTTCATTTTAAGATTAAATTACAAGCCTAACAATCACAATACAATGTTATTATATAGCATTGTCAAAACAACAAACACCTTTAAGAGGTGAGTAAATACTACAGAGTCCATGTCCATGGAGTGTACAGGAAGTGAAACACTGATGGATGGCCTTGGATTTTAGGCTACTCACAGCAGCCTCACTACCCGCTCCAGAACTTGCCCAATCCCTTAAATCAACATCTAGTTGTTCATTGAGAGAATATGTGATCCCACCACAGTTACATCAAGAGGGGCAGCTTGTAAAGTTGTTGTCTTTAGCTTGACCTCCCCGATAGATTCACAATGTGCATGTACTGTTCATCGCTAAAATAATATTCAGTGTTACATTTGGATTTAGGAGTCAAGTTTACGGATGTAAACCAACGTAGTTTCCACTTAGCATAAGTTGTTTGCAGGACTATTTTGGGAGCGCTCGCATGTTGTCACGCAGCTGCTCAATTTAACTCGTGCTCGCAGTAAAATGAGAACATGCAGCGAAGCTGCTACCGGCACGCGATCTGCTGTGCTAACGAGCTGCCACGCTGCAGGGCACCGGACAGAAAAACAATCCATTACGTTCCGATGACCGTATACCATTATCATGAAGCGTCATCCCGATGGTCCCTCCGGTGTTTATAACCAGGACTCGCGCCTCGACGGCGGAGGGGGAAGTCGCCGGCTCCACGGACTCACTCGAGTTCGACAACCTTCTCCTCCTGCGTGAATGCAGCTGGATATTTCTCTGGTGAGAGACGGCATCGGTCACTTCTGTCAGATCCAGCGTAGGCTGCGATAAAGCCCGCGCGAGGGATGTCAGGTTGTTGAAGCTGGAGTCCGCCATGACGGCTTAAGAGTGAGCGCCGGGTACTGGCCCTTTAAACACGCTGGTTGCAACTGTTCCAACACCAACAACGAGGTCCTTCAGGAGCTGCAGGCAGGCTGAAACATGGCACCGATCCTGCGGCCTAGTAAAGCAGATTAATCGTTATCATGTGATTAAACAGTGGGCGACACCAGGGTTTTAATGATATTTACATATCACTGTAGCCCACAGTACATGTCTCTTCCTCCCCCAGGACCCTTATCCGTAGTTGTGACCTTGAAGTGCTGATGGACAGTGTCCACTCTGACGTCAGAGATGTGGGTGAGACGTCAAGAGCAACACACTTGATGGACAGTTGCAGCAAACCTCCTCCACACTACTGTATGCGGGTCAGCATTACAATGAAACGGCCGTATATATTTTTAGAAATTGTTTTGAATAATATGTAATACTCAAGAGTTCTGTAAGTGAATGCAGCAGCTAAAATACTTGAATAAAGTAGTGTAACCTCACTACCTATGACATCTTGCTTTGTATCAGGGATGTAACTAGACAGTGCAGACAGAGCGGTTGCACTGGGGCCCGAGGGCAGGGTGGATACATTACTCATGATTCCTAGGCTGTCTGATGACGTGCCTGCAATGACCACAAACCCTACATTAAAAACTCAGATCCTTTCTCGCCATGACCCATTTGGTGTGTGTGTGTTCATTGTATAATTAATTCAGACTGCCACCTTTGCAATATGCCTGTTTAAAGGAGCAGCGTGTAGGATGTTGTGGCATCTATTGGTAAGGTTGCAGATTGCATCTAACTGAATAACCCTCTGCTCACCCTTCCCTTTCCAAGCATGTCGGAGAACTATAGTGGCCTTCAGGCAAGGTAAAAACACGAAAGGCTCATTGTTTGGTATTCCCGGCCTGGGCCACTGTAAAAACGTGGCCGTGTAGAATAGATGACCCGCTCTCTATGTAGATATAAATGGCTCATTATAAGGTAACTAAAAACTCAAGGACTCTTAGTTTCAGGTCATTTTACACTATTGCAGACATAATTTTATTACATTTCTGCCAATAATTCCCCTAAATCCTATACACCGAGAACAGAATCATTAGAAAAATAGGAACCGTTTTCTATATGATCCCTTGAAGAAACAAATGCATCTTTGTCCCGTAATCAGGTTTTCCTTTCTTGTGTTTTTGTAAAATAGACTGTAGCAATAACAAAATGAATGTTTGCTCTATACTATGATGCTCTTAAATTAAATGAATAACTTCATATTTTCTTTCATATTTTTTGTTTAAAGGGATGTACACAATAATGTATCCAATAATCATAATCCTTCTTAATTGGGACATGCTGCATAATGAGTACTTTTACTTTTGGTACATTGAGTACATTTTAATGCTAATATTTTTGTACTTCTACTTGTGTAAAATGTTGAATGCAGGAACAGAGTATTTCTACAATGTGATAATCACTTTAACTTCAATAAAATAATGTATATTTTATATGTAAATGTTATTATCCATTTAACTTCAGTGTATGTCTCCCAGTTCCCCACACTTGAGATACTGACATAGAATAAAATGTACCAATACAGTACCAGCTGAATGTTTATTAATTATATGAATATTTATTAAGGGATACTGTGGCTAAGTGGAGAGGGCCGACCTTCAATCAGAGGATCGGTGGTTCGATCCCCGGCTCTGCTAGTCACATGTTGATGTGTCCTTGAGCAAGACACTTAACGCCAAAATGTCTCCCGTAGCTGTGCCTACGGTGTAGAAATGTGATAGAATCTGAATTGTAAGTCGCTTTGGATAAAAGCGTCTGCTAAATGACTGTAATGTAATGTAATGGATAAGATAATAGAGACTTTATTGTCATCCCTCAGTGCAGTACAATAGGAACAGAATTGTGTTTCTTCTGGTCTTCAGTGCAAATCAAAAGAATGAATGATGCAACATTCAATGGGAGTGAAGGAAACGTTCAGACTGCACCCACAGTGCAACTTACAAAACAGGTACAAACATGTGCAATATACAGGGCAATGCAAGACAGTGTTGTGAAGATATGAAAAAGTCTAAATATAAATGGGAGTATAAAAATAAGTGTTAAGTCAGTCAGTCGCAGTTTGTGGGTGTCTGAGTAAGGTGCAAGAAATCAGACAGGCTATAGTGACCTCACACTGAGTTCCAATGTTTGGATTGGATTAGAATAATGTTTTCTCATTATATTATTATATTGTTTTGCCAGGGTACTAAGAGTATTACAATATTATTTAATATTATATTATACCAGTTAAATAGATGATTGATATGTAAAAATGATTCTATATTTTGTTAAAATTAAAGTCATCGTTATACCCACGAGCAATATGGTTAGGATTGGTTAAACAGATTAGACAATTTAAATGCTGAATACAGATGCTCAAACATCCCCAGTTTGTTTCTATTTATCTCTGCATACTCATGTGGCTTCGTCTATCTGTTCACTGTCTATGCAAAAGAACATTTTAAAAACAGTTGAAATACATATAGAGATGATCAAACAGTTAATGAATACATTTGGCATTTAGTAGTAAACTTTACCAATAAAACCCCCAGTGGGGCACTGTGGAGGAATGGTTGGGCATGGTTTAATTTGAGTTTAACAAAACTTGAGCAGCTTGACAACCCCTCGCCACTACAGAGGATTGTCAAAACAGACAAAACAAAATGCACAAAATAATTTGTTCATGGGACTGAGTGAATTTATAAAGCCTTGTAATTGCCACAAGGGGGTGGTGTTACCCTTTACATTGCATAGAGATCCACTCTAATCAGACGACAACATTAGATATTAAAACATTACCAATACCATATTCAATTTTATTATGTAAACAAAATATTTTCATATTTAATGTGTTTACTTCAAAGAAACATAAAAGAAGGCAGCAGGGTCGTTAACGGGCAAAGTTGCTATAAAAAATAAACCATAACGTTACATGTACGTTAACTAATAACTAGATACATGGTGTACATATAAATAACGTTTCATTTTATTTCATGTAAGTTTGGGTATTTTATTGTTTAATGCTAGAAATCGTGGGTTCACTAGACAGCGCGTACGAGGCAGCAGCCGCTGAATGAGCTGAATGAAGTCGACGGGAGGAAGTGGCAGTTAATGCAGCTCCACACCTTTCCGGTGTAGCAGCACTGCGACCAGCTCGACTTACAGGAGAAAGACGAGAGCTGGGTGTATTTATCGAGACAGGAGGGGGAGATAGGAGGTAAATTGATCATATTTTAATGTTTAACTCAAGGAGATGTGAGTCAAACATTTTGTGACTGTCTCGTGTATTTTGTATCCAGATATTATCAGTTTGCGATAGCTAAGTACCGTTATCTTGTTAGCCTTAGGCTAGCTTGCTAGGCAACAAGCTAACAGTTAGCTAATGATAGCTTGCTAGCCCTCTTTAGCAGCCATGAGCGATAGCTTGCTAATTTGGCATGTCTGACCCGCCTCCTAAATGTCTTTTTTTTCAGGGGGATAAGAAGTGGAGTTGCATGAGTGGATACACGTGTTGCTGAGTCACCGAGGATTTCTTTCGAAGACGCCGGCAGCAGGGTGAAGTTACCCGGCGCTACGCTTTATGGACTAGCCGCTGAAAGCTGCTTTTCTCCTCCGGTAGCGGTGAAGAGAACAAGGGCGCACCCGATGTGGAGGACCGGACACCAGAAGGAACTCACAAATACCGCGGCCTTTTCGGGGCCTTATCTACACACGTCTTCTGCTCTCGGCACATTTTAATCGCCACAGCCTGTCTTTGACACATAGCTTTATGTTGATTTGGGCAACAAAATGAACGTCCAGCAACAGCTGCTGCCAAGTTCTTAGTGTAACCGTGCCATGTTGTGCGTAGGGCCCGCAAACACTGTGATACTTTGAACATAAATGTCCCACAACTTCACTGGAGGCACATACTTTAAAGTAAAAAGCCATTAAGTACTGTTCAGTTAGGTGTGCATTTTTGACTTTTTTTCACCACATATGCACTTCACTGAGTCATGTTTTCAGAAGTAAGCCCATAAACTGAAGCTATAACAAAGTGAATCATCATCGGCACAGTTAACAGACTTTTTCTCGTTAGGATCGAAGTATTTATGCACAAGAGTTCAAAATGGGTAAAGTGCTGTCTAAAATCTTCGGCAACAAGGAGATGAGAATATTAATGCTCGGACTTGATGCTGCGGGAAAGACAACAATCCTTTACAAACTGAAACTCGGACAGTCTGTCACCACGATCCCCACAGTCGGCTTCAATGTGGAGACCGTCACCTACAAAAACGTCAAGTTCAACGTCTGGGACGTTGGGGGGCAAGATAAGATTCGCCCTCTGTGGCGACACTACTACACGGGCACCCAGGGGTTAATTTTCGTGGTGGATTGCGCGGACAGGGATCGCATCGACGAGGCGAGGCAGGAACTCCACCGCATCATTAATGACCGGGAGATGAGGGACGCCATCATCTTGATATTCGCCAATAAGCAAGACCTTCCGGACGCCATGAAGCCACACGAAATCCAAGAGAAGCTCGGGTTGACCCGCATCAGAGATAGGAATTGGTACGTTCAGCCCTCATGTGCGACCACAGGTGATGGACTGTATGAGGGCTTGACATGGCTAACCTCGAATTACAAATCTTAATGATTGAGTGCTGACTGTTTTAGGTCAAAACTATAATACCGTTGCAAGTAACAAATAACTTCTCAAAATGAATATGGTTAAGAAGAAGAAGTTGATTATCTCCCATTTATTTTTAATACTACGTTTACCCCACGACTAATTTATCTTTAACTGGGTTTGCTGGCTTAAAGTTTGCTTGTACTCTGTAGCAGGCCTATATCACATTCATCATCTTGGGGTTTGCTCGATGAATATTGAATAAATTGGTCCTAATGTTAAAGCCAGAGAGATCACCGCCTTTGCCTATTCTTTGCCCTGTTTGTATGATTATTTTTTTCTTTCTAATGAAGCTGAAGCGTTTGTCTTCATTCTTGGACTAAAACTTTTATTCAAGGTTCTTCAGTCTCTGTTGCATTGAACTCTGATCTTTTTTTTTTCCTGTCTTTCTGAGGTGAGATCTTTAATGTCACGGTATACTTGATGGACTTTGACATCTGTTTGAACACAGTACTGTGATGAAAAGTATTTCTTAATGGTATTGACTGCTGCAAGGGAAAAATAAAGCAGAAATAAATCACCATTGCTTACATTTCATTGACATCAGAGGAAGAAAACTACTTGAGACATGTTTCGATACCCCTCCCAATCCCCCTCGGTGGGCTTTATAGTTTACTGATTGACCTTCCGTGTCACGTCTTGATACCTAATTGTGCTCGATATTCAACAAATGGGCCTCCAGTAACTCTTAAACATGCTTGTTGGGATGCATTTTTGATTTTGGGTGACATGTTGTAAGTTGACTCAATCTTTCCAAAGGAATGTCATTCAGCTCCGAGCTCTCTAAATCTGATTCCACAGTTGATTAGTCTCAGTATCGGGACATTATATGATAGCCTATATCTGTAGCATGAGTACGAAAGTACAGTAACCCTACATCAGAGTCCATCTGTTGTGCAGTCAGAGGGAGCTGTGTACTGGTGAAATGTTGAAGACACCCTGTGGTGCAGCTCTTACTCTTATTTTGACTGGGGGGGGGGGAAACCATGTACAGAACAATGTCATTGTAATGTCTTATTAAAAAAGTGATTTTAAATCTATTTCTGTTTGTTTGTTTTTTCAAGGATTAAAGGCAGTTGGAGTAACTAGGCCTGTGAGTGATCTGCCAAAAGTTATATTCATTTAAGCTATTTGTAAGTAGTTTAACATATGAACAGCGGTATAAAAAAAAAAACTGGGAAAGTTTCAAGAATGCTCCTAGTTAAAAGTAGAGGTCTGTATTGTTAAAATTCTCTTGTGTTTTAGTGCTAGTGGGCAGATTCTTCATAAAGGGTTTATGTCCACCCTCAATAAGTGGTTGGCCTCAGTTCCCTTGCCAGTAAATGAGCGGGGAAATGTACAAAACAGGAAGTCCAACTGCTGGTGTTTCTGGAGCAACAACAGAGCCACGTCATAGTTTGCAGTGGAGATATACAGCTGAATTGTGAATTATTTTTCAATGTTGCGTGTTGGTTGTGAGGCACAGTTGAGTTGATGCTGAGCTGTCAGCTGTAACTTCCTGAGTTTGCTATATTAGTTGGGACTGGCATCAAAAAGCGAGTCTCGGTTGTTTTGATTTAGCGGGAATGTTGTGTGTTCTAGTTGACTAATGCAGAGCTGGTGTTGAGAAATGTAAATAGGATAAACGCTTGAGTTATGAGTTACATGAACAGATGCCGGTTGCTAATGAGACCATTTATGCACCTTTTTAAACATGGGAGCCACTCACAACCATGTGTTGCACTCTTTCCACATAATCAGGAGCATAATCTGTGTTTTTATATAATCTCTCAAAAGTGAGTGTAATCTCTGTCCGATCTTTAGTGTTTCCAATATGTTGGGAAGATGAGTGTCTGTATTACTCCCCTTTTCTACTCTGCTAAAATGCTGACATTTCATTCCTGCTACTGCTGAATAATCATTTCAGTTTAGGTATTTTTGTAAAAAGTTCCTTTAAAAGTTCTAATGTTTAGTAGTAATTCTGACATAGTGAAAGAATGTTTTAGTTTCCATTAAAGCTGATTAACAAGTGTGTTTGCACTCCTGACAAAGACAGGATTAATGGTGACAAATGGTCTGACTACTGTGTTTAGGGCTACAGAAGATTAGTCAGTAATATTCCACAGATTTTTAGGATTCTTCCACTCGGCATACTGCAGGGCACTGTTTCCAGTGTTTTACACCTCCACATAAAAACTGGCACTATGTAAGCTGCTCAAAAAGCACAGAGTCTGCATTTTTTTTTTAGCTTTGCATTTACAATAATAGGTGTCAGTTTGACACTGTATCCTACAAATGTTTGCATCTACGAGCTACTGGCTGTATAATCATGGCGGCGGATTCCCTGTGTGGAGAATCTGGTGCTCAGCAAGTTGCTGTAAGAGGCCTCAGGATGTTTGCTTTAGCACCATAGAGGTTTCCGTCACACAGGTCAGGTGACAAAGACAGATTTAATGCTGAGATGTTCCGCACAACCCACACAACTCTTGCAACCGTGATTTAAAATGCTCCCCATCAGAAAAAAAATCGAAATGATCCAGGAAGTCCAGGAACTATGCAAGCTTCCAAGGGTATTTGTAAATACTAGCCTTCTATAAGGTCTTGGTCAAGGGCCTCCATTAGATGCTGATGGCAGTTTAATTGGGCTGTAATGGCCGCTTTGGTTCCCACCACTTCATTACAACCATATGATCCTCACAGCTTTATTGGTAACACTGGGGCCCCCAGGGCAAGGACAGAAACTGTAAGCAATGCTTTATGACCTCTCCTCTGTAAAGATGAGACCTCCTGGCCCTTATGTCGACTCCCTCTGTGCTGGGCTGGAATGCCATACACTTTCTGAGAGGAAAGGTCACAGAGGAAAGCTCAGTAATAGCTGTTTGGTATAATAGGCGTCATTCCTCTTGCTTAATGAAGTCTTAGACTGGTGTTGAATATAATTGTGTTCCCTGCAGCACAGCGACGTGTTCATTTAGCATCTCACCAATGCAAAAGCATTATTTCAGAATCCTAACTCACTGGTGGCATAATTCAAAAAGTAAAAAGGTAAGGGACTTAAATACCTCTACAAGAAGGTACAGTATATGACAGATTTGTCTCGGGCGGCCACAACGCCTGTTTGTTAGGGAAGTTCCTATGACAGCGACCTGATGAGATCTCTGCCAGTGTGGCTTGGTGCTTTTGGTATCGTCACATACGAGGATGACTGTGCTACAAGTTTCCTGTAAGTTCCTCTATTCTACATAGAAAGAGGAAGAGTGGAGAGAAGTTGAAAGAGACCCCACTCTCTGTGAGCAGAGTTCTGCAATATTGGAACACACCTTTTTTTCTTCTTCTCCCTTTGACGCAATGACATCTGTCATTGCGTCAACTTGACAAAGATTTAAAACAGCTCAGGAATAACTATGGTGACTGGTGTTACAGCTGCACGTCTGATATGCCTCCAAACCCAGCCTGAATTATGCTTGTGGTTTTCAGGGGTGTGGTTTGTCTTCCTCACTGTCTTCACTTCCTCATTACACCAGCTGCAGTGTAGCATTTGCGCAGGTAGGACTCATGTAATACTCCTTTATGACTGAAGTCATCGTGGCTTAACATCGGCCTACAGTTCAACAGCCACACCCAGCTGGATGAATAACTGTAGGATTTGAGATGCCTGCAGTCACATGTATTCTTGTGCACATTGGCCAACAACGTTACTAAAGCGGTTTATTTATCTGCCAAATGGTAGGAGGGAACACCTACTCTAAGCCACAGCTCACACAGCTTGGTTCAGTGGCTGCTTATCCTCAAGGACAGTTATAAAAAAAAAAACTCTCCCTCCGTCTGCTGGTTAAGTTCTCTGCACCTTCAGTAGCCTCTTTGAGTGAGCTGTTAAATAATGAGCTCACGCAGAGCTCAGTGTAAAACAAGTCCGGAAGTGGCTGAAAGTTGTTTCAGGTTTCCTGCTGTGGTTAGCGCTCTTGAATGCCACGCTGCAATGCAAACCCCTCACGCAGACGCACTCTTAGCTGTTTGTATTGTAGGTGTGGTTTGAGTTGGTTTTGATTGCAGGTGTGTGGGTGCAGGTTTTTACTCAGAAACAATCTAAAAAAAGTGTTATGGTTTGATTAGGGGCTATGCTGTGGTGTGGGCCAGCTAAATAAGGTTGAAAATGTGAGGCTGTGAAGTCCAAGGTGCACTCTGGGCACTGGTCCTAAATACATTCCATTCATATCTGCAATGGAAGGTTACTTGCTGTGGTGAAATGAAAAACTCAGAGAAGCATACAATTATTATTAAGTGCTGGTAAGTACTCAAACAAGCATTAACTACATCATTTAAGCCACTAACCGTACAGTTTTGTTTGTAGAGTCTCACTGGCCTCTAATCATATTGTTTTTTCCACTTTAAAAACCATCCAATCTCAGTTCCATTACATTTTTTTATGCCTCGGGGCATCTGTTTATATTCCATTATGTGAAAACTCTGAAAGTTGTCCACTTGGTTCCTCTTGAGAATTCCAGGATGTTTGACACAGCTGTTTGAGTGTGAACCAGTGTGTCTCTGGACTCATGTGCTGTGTTTTCCCAGCTGTAACACACAGAGAGTAAAGAGGATCATAGCTGAGGGTTAACCATCTTGCCTTCAGATGTAAGCAGAAAGCAGTGCTATGTATATGAAAAGGGGGGGGGGGGGGTCAGCATTATGGATGGTGCTGCGAGGAATGGAAATCTAAGTGCATCTGTTTCTGAAGCAAGATGAAATCAATTGGATGTTTTTTGAGATTCTTCACCACACAGTATGCAGAGCATGAACTGACCTTTGCCATGTGGCATCTGTAATTTGGATTTACACAACCACCTCAGCACGCACCGAAACACTTTAATACCAAAGTATACAGTAACATAGAGAAGAGTCACGATCCACCAGCCACAATGTATTCACGCACAGCCCCTACACACTGACTGACACAAACACAATCACTGTTAATTACTGAGGAGACAGTGTTTAGAGTGACACTACCTCTGGATTAGACAACAGTTTGGGCTTGGGAAGAAATCTCAGTTCTAAGGCTAGTCAGGTGCTACTACTCACACACACAGTGCAGAATCAGACTACTGAGAGGTAATGACTTTGGAAAAGGTGACACACATACACACACACAGAGAGAGGGAGAGAGAGAGAGATGCTGCACCCACCATTCTGCAGTTCTTCGCTTGGTGCTGGGCTGCCACACATTCTAATGATGACAAATACATCATTGCACTAGAATGCAGTAGGGACAGCAGTCACAGGCAGTCAAGTCTCCGCAAAACCTGTGGTAGTTCAAGCAAGGAATCAATACACCATTCCAGTTTTACTGATACCACGCTAGAGCCACACTGAACCATCACTAATATTATACGCAGCGTTTATTATGACCTAACACTGCATACAGAGACTAATAGGAGTTATACAGCTTTGTGTTCAGCTCTTTTAATTTTGATATGGACAATCACTGGTGTGTCGTAGTGCTAATATGCCTGTATTTACAGTAATGGAGGAAGGGGGCAAGTGTGCACCATATTCTCACAGTACTGGATTTGTGTCCCCTCTCAACTGCAGCACAGCTGTCTTAACAGCACCCCCGCCCTCCTCTTGTTCCCCTGCGGGGGGGGGGGGGTGACTGATCACATGCTCTATTTTGGAATGGAGCTCTGGCCTGTTGTCTCTTTGTGTATAGCCTAAAGTGAAGCATTACCTGAAGCATAAAGAGAAAAAGATGATCTGTGTGTGGAGGTGGAGGGTTAGACACCTTTACATGATCAGAGGAGTCACACATTTATGCAGCCGTCTTCTATTTTTAATCAGCCCAGTTTGATGTCTATTCTCGAGCCACTCCCTAATAGCTAGCGAGAAAATGAGTCTTCCTTTCTGGAACAGCGTTTCTTGGCTCCAGGCAGCGTGATGATGGTGACACAAAGGATCTTCTGTGTCACTCGGCTGTGATGCAGCAAAGTGGTGCACACCACACAGGCTGCACGGAGTCAGACTCTCCTCCACCCATCTGGTTTGGAGGGGAGCTGCACTGCTCCCTCATGTTTTCTTGTTTTAAAAGAACCAAAGGGGGGGAATACATGCGCATTATGGAGTCCGTGCAGATGTTTTTCCCTATGTTGTGTGTGCAGAAAGTGCAGACTGGCCTGGTGTTGAATTGTACATGAATCTCAGGTGAACGAATAGCACACTGAAAAACAAAACAGCCACGACGAATTTCATCACCATGCCATGATCAATAAATGGCCTATATGTTAAAGCCCTCTGTGTGGCCTATTTATGAGGACATGAACTGTGTTGTTCTTACTGCAGGTTTTCAACACAGGTAAGAGCTATTTCTACTAATAGCACCATCTGTTGGCAGAAAATACCCCCATTCTGTCTTGGTGCATGCTGCATGTACGCCACATGTTCAGTAATGACTCTTTACGGTCACTGGAATCTACTGGTACGCGTATAGGATAACAGATTAACAATTAACCGCTGCTTCACTGTGGGCTGTCCTCATTTACTCCGAACCTCCCCGATTCCCCTGTAGTGCCAGCCTAATTAGCCAACCACAAGAAGACTATAACTACATTATATAAATGATTTTGGGTTAACAGAGACTGGAAAATAGATTGTAAATGATTCGACTGACAGAGATATGGGTGGACGTGGACAGGAGGATGAAATGTTGACACGCGGAGCTCGCCTCCCGTCTAATCTCCCAATAACCCCTCTGGGTCCCGTCCTCGCCACACTGGGGGGACATGGACTTAATACCAGCTGTGAGTCAATTTAATTAGCTGAACATATCCTGGTCACAGCCAAAGGAGACCTCAATAGTAGGCTGACTCAGATTGTAGCAGTCCAGCTGGCCCAGGCAGAAGTGAGAGTTCAGAGATGGGCCACAGGGAGAGATTATTGTAAATGATCCGATGTAATCATTCTAGTAACTGTAACAATGAAAGAAAAAAACATGAATGTCACTATTTCTCTTGTGATAGGCCATATCATCAACCAAGATCCAGGGGTCAGATTGTTAAATTGTGATATTCAACCACACCTCTGTCTTTCTCCGTCATAGGCTACATTTAAACATTCACGATCAGTTGGAATAATGAACCGAATAGTTTGAACAGGAAGAGTTCTACTGGTTCAAGTAGCAAACAGTTCATGTTGCATTTAAACGATGATTTGGCATTAATTATGAAGAGCTGCTTGTTTCTGTTAAAATTAAAAATCAAATCATTAATTTCAGACGCAGTACGCCATCACAGATGTGCCTGCCGTGGCCTACAGTAGAAGCACATTTCAGGCAAGGTTAGCTTTGCACTCCAGGATCCATATAGAGAAAAAAATGAGGATGAGCACGAGGAGCATACTGATGCATAATCAAACTTTGCTCCATACTGCATTGTTCTATAAAATGATTTGATGATTTTAATGAGACGTTCAGTGTTGACTCGACCCATGTCAACATCAACATAGCATTTTTATTTGGTCTGAGCGTTGGAGGCCACCCCGCTCATTACGCTACAGCTCCACTGTGTAAACAGAGAGCAGCATGAAAGGCTGCGAGGGGCCCCTGCATGCCTGTGGGAGGACGGGCGTACTTCATGGTTTATGTTTGAAAAAGAGCCATAATCTTCCAGCTAATCTGGGGCTTGTGGTGGAATTCCCCATGCACTGAGGGCTAGGAGCTAGCATACACAATGTTGGCCTCAGTTTTTAAAAAGCATGGGTAAACTACATAAACATAAACTATGGATTGATAAATTTAGTCATGATTTATTTTCTCACCCCTCTCAATGTGATAAATTCTAATAGTGTAACAATGTCTTTGCAACTTAAATTAGAATGAAGTTATTAGATAACCAGTTTGGCTTAATACTCTAATTGCAGGTTGTTGTTTTTTGCACAGACTAAACATTTACACACCTCTGAATACTTTTTTTGGATTTAAGCAACCATTGCCCCCTAGTGCTCAAAATGGGCAATGTCTGAATTGACATACCTATTTCACAATTAGAAGAAATCCTTTAAGTTACAGTGAAAACCACTCTTACAGCAAGATGGCCGTCAGTAGCTGCTCATCTCTCGGGGAAGGTCAACAATTTTAATCTTACATGTGACTGAGTATTATCCAAATGTAATGACCTGCAACAATGTTTATTTAGTCATGCACAGCAGAAATGCTCAAGAGCAAAAGCACCGTAAGTCTCGTGTTTGCAGTTTACTGAGCTGTAAACTCTGGGCTTTCACTGTGTTTTGAATGAAACCGTTTTAAAAAGATCACAGACATTTGCAAGACTGATCCTCAACCTCAAACATACAAATGAACACCAAAAGAACATGGTTCAGTCCCTTCCTGGTCTATTTGCGAACCCCTCTCGCTTAAACACATTTGACTAAAGATAAGCCTTTGCTGTCATGTCTGTGCTTGCACATGTCTGCCATCTACCTTCACAGCCCTACAATTACACAGACCAATGAAACTGATATTATATAAACTTGGTTTAATAGTGTATGAAAACAATACATTTTACAATGTTTTTTTTAATTTGCCATTTTGTTTTACTCAAATCACTGTACCAGCACAGTCATATATATAAGAGCCAGGAGTGCAAAAATGAAGATACATCGATTAGGGGCACATCAGACTTTTCTCCGGATGAGCAGGATGTGGATGTCTGGACTACTAAACTCTGGGTCTTGCTTGTCTGAAGGGATCTCCTCACAGTCGAAGTTTTCTTGCAGCAACTAAAAGATAACAAAAAAAAAACATACTGAGGGATGATGCCATATATCTCATCTTCTTAATATGTATTTACTTATTTATTAGTATTAACAAATGGAACACACAGTTGGGCTCTCACCTCAAAAAACTGCCTTTCCACTTTTGGGTTGACACCCTCTGTGCGCTGCTCATAGCAGCAAATAATGCAGGTCTCTGGTCCAGAGAGCAGCTTCAAGCTCTCCACCAGTGGAACAATGGACTGTGTGGAAATAAATGATCAGAGATTACAAAGAGAAATGCAGTGTACACGCATGTTTTATTCAGATTTACAATGATGGTGATGCAGTGCAAAGTTGCAAAGGGTCAAGTTTAGATTAAAGTAGAAAACTCTTGTAAGTTACCTGCTCATAATAGATGCAATCTGCCATAAGGACATAATGTGGGGGAGGCCAGAAGTCAGACACATCTTCACCCCTATAAAAATAAATCAAACCGTTTGCAATCTGTTGAAACAGTGGCTTGGATATAGAAATGTAATCCAAAAAAACAAAACATAAGTACAAACCATTTCAGTACCTTGGCAGTTACTGATCCACTACTGATGAGTGCCTGGTTTTCCTGGATGTTCACTCTGAGCAGGGTCTGCAAGTCCTCCAGGTCCGTCACAGTAACTGCAGCTCTATGGGATTTAGCACAAAGCAATGAAAACTGCCCTTTGGCTTTCTGTGCGTTGGTAGTTTTAATATTCTCATTAAGGTTTTAATCAAAAATAAAAGGATGTCATGGCTGTCGTTCACTCAGCTAGCAAGCTAGTATTAACTGTATGTATATCGATGCTTTAAGGTCAGAGTAACACGTAAACACACAAACTAAGCGGTCATCTCACCCCAGTGTTGCTGCCATCAGACCAACAACTCCTGTCCCAGCTCCTAACTCCACTACCCTCTTGCCCGCCCAGACGTTCACTCCAGAGGACGGGTCATAAAATTGTTTCGTCTCTAAATATTTGGCCAGAACGATGGCCGCATCCCACACGACACAGCCAACGTCTCCTAAGTAGCACTGCTTCACCTTCAGGGTACACCCGTTGTTTCTCTCAATTTCTCTCACAAAATAATCCCCCTCATCTGCGTCCGCCGCCATGTTGGCCGCGGCAGGAACGGGTAGAGGACTTCCGGTTTGATCTTTCCAGAATAAAAGAGTAAACCCTTCATATCAGGGCAAGTGCACCGAATGAACAGACGTTACACAAAAGGCAGACAACTTATTTTTTTGCACAAGAACAAATTATTAGCAAAATGTTAGTATTCATTCTGTAAAATACTGTCTGTGGTAGTCATTATTCTAATAAAAGTAATGGAGGCCCTTCAGCAGCACTGTCAACTGTTTTGAGATATAAAGTGATACAGCTCTTTTTCTAATGTAATATATATCTAATATATTTAATAAATCTAAAATAGACAACATAAGTTATGTCCTATATGCAGTCTATGGGTATGTCAGGCCTCCACCACAAGGCACAGACAAATATTTTCAGACTATAAGGTCAAGATCTTGACCTCAAACACGTGATGCATATTGCTTTGGAAAGCTAATTTGTCAAAACACCCCTCAGGCTATGTATTATCATTGTATGTATGTATGTGTACTTCTAGCTGCTTCCTCTTTCCTTCTTCCTCTTCACTCGTTTTAGTTCCTCTTCTTGTCAAGTCATGCTTTGCTTAACCTTTTGGATAGCTGTTACCTTTGTTACCCAGCCTATTTTATGACGTTATGGTCTAGTGGCAACTCATGATGATCACATCTTTGTATAGGGTATTTCTGTGTAACATTGAATTGTGTAAAGTGATATGGTTTTGTTCCTGGTTTGACGGTTGCTTTAAAATCTATACTCCAATTCATACATCCCCAAAAGTAACTAAATCAATCATCCAAATGAAAAACTATCCAAATGATAAGTCATACAAACCATACTATAATCAATTTCACTGCGTATACTGTTCTCATCGTGACCATTTCCATTTCACTGTGTGCCTCCTATTGGCAATCTACAATTAAGGTGCTTTCATTTCATTTTCAGTTTCAGATGTAACTTGAAAATGTCAATCAAAATCTGTGTTATTTCAGAAAGTTCCCAAGACCTGGTAAAACTAAATAAATAAATACAATAAAAAAGACTATCATGTGACTATTAATATGAGATCTCTGAGCTCTTCTTTTTATAATGTGTATAAACTCGTTATCCATGAAAAGAGCCCATAGACACCGTAGTCTACTCTGAATATCACAACAATTGTTTCTTCTTAATATCTTTCGTTTTCTTTTTTACTGTATTATGTTTGATCTCCTATATTAGGTCAATTAAACTGAGTTATTGTGGATTTGAGGTGCACACTGCATTCCTGTGTGTAGCCAATCAATCAATCATTTAAAATATAGGCTAAATAACTATGTCAGTAATGTCAATCAATCAATCTGTCAATCGTCTTGGTTTTAAAATGTCACGTGACTGATTTGCGCAGACGCTAGTTTACAGGATCCGACATGATCGCGCGCGTAGCTAGCAGAGGCGGGTTTGTTAGCTAACAGTTAAAGCTAACTGTGAGACTTCTTTGCGTTCCACATAAGGCGTCCGTGTTTTTCGCAAATTAGGGTTTAGTTGACTGCAGCTTTTTTTTTGTTACTAGCATTCTCAAATGTATTTATTAGTTTGGTAATATACCGCTCTGCCTTTACGAGGTTCTAAAATGTTTCGTAGCAGCACAGAGGAGGTCGGTGACACCTCGGAATGTGGACAGACATGGGGGGTGTCCCTAACGGACAGAAGCAGACTAAATGAAACTACCTCGTATGATCCCGGATCAGCTTCCTCCGGTTCATCCCACCAAAGTTTAGATGAAGGCAGTACGAGCTCCAGCCACGGTCCATCACTCCCCCGAGCGGCCTCAGGTGAGTTTAGTTTAAGCTAACACTTAGCATCTTTTACTGTCACAACAGTAGCATACAAAATGAGATTAGAGACATTATAATAATAACAATGGGGCCCACATTTGTAATACTTAAAACCTTGTCTCTGGGCTCGGCAGTAATAATATGACACAGGCCCTCTCCTCATGTTTTGTCTTGACATAGGTCAGTTGCATCAAAGCTTCCTGTTAGGCAGGATCAATTCATCTCTCCTTGCATCTACCTCGGACAGCTCCTCCCTCTGCAGCCGTGGAGGAACACCAAAACTCAGGAGGACACCAGGGTTTGCTGGGGCCACACTCGCACAGCTAGCACGCACCCCATTGACCGATCACACCGGTACTTCAGCCCTACATCATGTTTGAACATGTCAACATGGCTGAAGCTGTGTTTCTAATTCTGATTCCTGTGTTTTTGCAGCAACAAGCAGCTCCTCTGCAACAGCAACCTCCGGTGCCTCTGTGATCGTGGCAGTGGTTGAAGGGCGCGGTTTGGCTCGGGGAGAGATTGGCATGGCCAGTCTCAATTTGAAATGTCCAGAGCTTATACTCTCGCAGTTTGCAGACACTGGGACGTATGCCAAGGTAACCAATCCGTGGTCAAAATCTACAGTACAACCTACAGGCTTGATTGGCTTGTTAATCATGGCTATCATCAGCAGAGACTATGAAATATAGGCAACTCCTGTCTCATTCATTATTTTACTCTTCTGAAGGTCATAACCAAGATTCACATCTTGTTGCCACTGGAAATACTTATGCCAGACACAGCCAGTGAGAAGGGGAAAGGGACGAAGCTGTTCAACCTCATCACAGAGAACTTCCCGGTACCAATACAGTATAGGAGTCATAAGCAAAACACACAATTCAGTGAAACAAATGCATACTTTCAAAGAAGAAGGTGGCTCACTCATTCACTCACTCACTCCTGGTTGGCACTACTGTGAACTGTGTATGGTGCATCCCACCTATTGACATGTGTTTTTGTTCAATGTTAATGTGTGGTAATGTTTACATATTTTTATTGTCAGGGAGTAGCTTTCACTGCTATCCAAAGGAAGTATTTTAATGAGAGGAAAGGACTGGAGTACATCCAGCAGCTGTGTGCTCCAGAATTTGGCACTGTCCTCATGGAAGTGCAAGCCAAGTACGCCACTGAGTACAATAATGTATAAAAATAGAAATACTGCAACACAAATCTTTTGTTACAAATGATCATGATTTTTTTGTTCCAGGTATTATTGCCTAGCAGCAGCCGCTGCTTTGCTGAAATATTTAGAATTCATCCAGAACTCCGTCTATGCTGGCAAGTCTCTCAAAGTGAACTTTAAAGGGAGTGAACAGACTGCAATGATTGACTCTACATCTGCCGCCAACTTGGAGTTGGTTGTCAATAACAGAGACCACAGGTAAGAGGGCAAGAGCATGACATGTGTAGTGCTTGTATAATCATGTACAGTGAGTGTTCAGTCTGTCTCTACAGGAGCGAGCATACTCTTTTAGGGGTGCTTAACCACACCAAAACATCTGGTGGTGCGAGACGGTTGCGCTCCAATATTCTGGAGCCTCTTGTTGATGTGGACACCATCAACATTCGCTTGGACACCATACAAGAGCTGCTGCGGGATGAGGAGCTCTTCTTCGGCCTGAAGAATGGTCAGGATTTAATCATACGTTAAATGTAAAGTGCATGCTGGAGATGGGAGCATAACACAGTATTTGACTATGTGCTCTTTTTGCACTCCTTAGCCATAGCTCACTTCCTTGACATTGACCAGCTGCTCTCTGTTCTTGTCCAAATCCCTAAGCAGGAAACGGTACGTACAGTACTTTCAGTACTCACAGTTGCATAAGATGATTTCATTGCAGTGGAATGTCTTTTGTGTGTGTGTGTGTGTGTGTGTGTGTGTGTGTGTGTGTGTGTGTGT